GGTGTTGGGTAATGTTAGGTGTCATGACAGGATGATCCTGTCACAATGACATTGAGTGGGTGGTGATGTCTTGGGGGGGGGGGGGGTGATGTCTTGTGGATGGTGTGGCAGGATGGCAGAGCATATGCCTGATAACCAGAGAAGCCTCGAGTTCAAATAAGAAGAACGCTTGATGTGTATCTGACTGGCGTTAGATACAGAGGCGGTTCGTCTTGGCGCTGTGCACAGCATCTACTTCACCTACCACATGGACAATCAGATCACCAGCATCTACTTCACCTACCACATGGACAATCAGATCACCAGCATCTACTTCACCTACCACATGGACAATCAGATCACCAGCATCTACTTCACCTGCCACATGGACAATCAGATCACCAGCATCTACTTCACCTACCACATGGACAATCAGATCACCAGCATCTACTTCACCTACCACATGGACAATCAGATCACCAGCATCTACTTCACCTGCCACATGGACAATCAGATCACCAGCATCTACTTCACCTGACACATGGACAATCAGATCACCAGCATCTACTTCACCTGCCACATGGACAATCAGATCACCAGCATCTACTTCACCTGCCACATGGACAATCAGATCACCAGCATCTACTTCACCTACCACATGGACAATCAGATCACCAGCATCTACTTCACCTGACACATGGACAATCAGATCACCAGCATCTACTTCACCTGCCACATGGACAATCAGATCACCAGCACCTACTTCACCTGACACATGGACAATCAGATCACCAGCATCTACTTCACCTGCCACATGGACAATCAGATTTGAAAGGGCTCGTTACTTTTTCTTAAACATTTTCACAATAAAACAACACAATCTTTAGAGTCACTCTGCAATCACAAGTTGTCTTCAACCTTCTAGGGATGAGTGTAACAGCAGTATAGTTTTACAAAACCTGTAACATCAAATGGGGATCTTACACGTGGCCTAAAGAGCTCACATCCAAAATCTTGTAATTAAATTACTAATTGCAATATTTTGTTCCGATCATCAGGCAGCCCTACCAACAGAAACTAACAAGTAGATTTCCTTAATTATTGTGATTAAACTTACATTCAATAACCTAATCTCATTAATCTGCTTGCAACTAGATTTATCTGGTATAAATATTTTATATTGTCTTCAACAGAATCACACTTGGTGGCGGCTTCAAAAGCTTACAAGGGGAGGTAAGAACACTTGCTGATGAAGCCCCTAGGTTAGCCCATATTGCTCATGAACTCTAATCCCCGACGGTTGGCTAATTCTACATCAAGGCCAGACTACGTGGACAGAAAACAGAACACCGCAGGAATTAGTGACGCTAATTAAGTTAAATTTGTTTCTACTGAAAACAGGCCCCTATCTTACCGAGGACGAGCATGTTAAACCAATAAAGAATAGGTATCTAATTGGCAGCACAGTGACCCCTGACCTCCAACCTGTTACAGAAGATACGAACTGACCACGATATCGAATACATCTGATAAGCTGACATTAAACATAGTGTCCACCCGAACCCTTTCCCCCCCCCCCCCCCCCCACCCATAAAGCAAGGTCAGTTGACAAAAAACATCGAGTCCACTCGAACTCTGCCCTCACCTCCCCATCCCCTGCCCCATATAAAAGCAAGGTCATCTGACATCAAACATGGAAAGTCCACTCAAACTCTCCCCCCCCCCATCATCCCGTCCCCCATAAATCAAGGTCAGAGTCAGTATATGTGGAAATCTTCACATTTTTTTCACATTAAAACTTGTAATCAACGTATACCAGTTTTTAACATGTCTCATATTTGATCGAAAAATTGATGAGCCAATATTCTAATGCCTATTTATTTACGTTGATTTATTTTGTCATTCACAGCCATCAATTTTTCTTACATAAATTCGTATGTAATTTTTTTTACATTATTATCGATTCTTAATTGATTGATCCGCAGCTATTACATCTTTGAGAACCTTCGCTCTACATACCACTGTAGTGTCGTAGTTTTTAGTGTAGCTTCACCGCCAACTTGTTAGCATATCAAACTTTCAGAAGATAAATCATATCACATTGTCAGCATGTATAGACATGTGTCTGTCGTATGAGTTTTATCCCCCGAGTCTTGATAGGAACTCCCTGTATGTTTTGAGAACCGTTATAGTACGACACTAACCCTGTTTAGATTTTTTCCACGGAGACCTCCATCTAAGTTCCCTTGACCGTCTTAGTCCAGCATAAACTGGTGCGAATTTCCCAGTAGGCTTGTAGCTAGAGTGTGAAGATTGAAAAGATAAACTGTGGACTCCTAAGGTTCACCACACAATCTAAGAGTACTAACCAACCTATCCATTCCGGACCAATCAGTCACTAATCCTAATAATACACAGCTAAATCAGACCAGCGTCAGACAATTTCCGGTACTTTTACATCAAAGACTGGCTGTAGGTCCCATTATACATTTCAAAAGTCTGGACTGAAAGTTTACCCATAAAAATTACACTTGTAGTACAACTCTGTAAGATACGTTTTTGTAAGTGTTCTAGTAGTACATCAATATACAAGAATCCATGCTTCAAGATCTAGCACCTTTTTGTTTACTGAAAAACCTTTATCAAAACCTGCAAGAACAATATTTTGTGATGAGGAAATAATTCATCTCATCATTGACCATTGGTATAATGAGCTACTAGACACACATTTTTAAAACAAATTGTTACCATAGCAACACCAATTTAATTTACTGCCACAGAAACTGTGACATGTCAAATGCAGACGTCAATCCATTTTAGTGTCAACGACATGTCATCACTATGGAGCGACATCAAAGGGGTTTAATCAAATATTCATTGTTGCGTCCCTTTTAACTTGACGGAGCAAGTTTAGATTGGATAGATTGTTTTTATATGTTTTATTCATTTGTTCTGAACCTTCATGAAAAAGAAAGGTAATGTCAAGACTCGTAACGTAGTGGTAGTTTTATGTTTCCCGCGTGTTATAGACACTGGATGGGCCATAAGAAACCATGGGAGTACATTTGACAAAGTAGGTCGTGTGATGTCATTGACCGGAAGCTGGCCATGTCCTCTCACACCTTATATATATTTGACCAAGTTTTGTGCTGAGTCAGACAATATTTGACCAAGTCTGAGTCAGACAATGTTTGAACAAGTTTTGTGCATTATCATAATTAGATCAGCTTTTTTTTGTTGGAAATTTAAAGTTTAAAGATATATGTTGCCATGTTACTAAATGAGTAGGAGACTTGGCCCTAGTGAAAAGGTAGGGCAGGGCTAACATAGGAAGGGTTGTTACATGAAGGGGAAGGGTTGTTGCATGAAAGGGAATGGTTGTTACTTGAAGGGGAAAGGTTGTTACAAGAAGGGGAAGGTTTGTTACATTTTACATTACTTAAAAATGCTGAATGTAGGAACTGAATGCACGTGGACCTGTAGCCGGCCAACCTACTTGTGTACAGTGCCTAAAGTAAAACATAAGGCAGTGTACAGTCAAATGTGTACTCACAGCAGACACAGACATCAGTTACACTAAACTGAGACATTAGAACTGCCTACATCGACTACTGACAATTTTTTTTAATCGCGTTATTCAATTTTTTTTAAATTGATTTTTTTTTTATAGTAAACATTTTTCTTTAAATTGTCGTCGCTTTTCTTGGACTCATGATTAACTCTAGCCAGACCAAAGTAAAAAAAAATGTCACCGCGCATTAAATGTTGTTTTATTTTATTTGTGTGCTCCTAATGAAAACTTTTTTTAAAACTTTGGCTTCTTTTATGAGCCGAGATGTGGCTTCTTAAAGAAAGACATCACAAATAATTATGTAATCGCCAATTAGCCTTGATAGTTCAGTGAACACGCCCAAACCAATGTATTTTTAACCATTCCGATTTTCAAGGGCATGTGTAGTTTCTGGACTTCAAACAGGACAACCGGTTTCCTGTTCATGTTTATGTTGGGTTTTGAGATAATAGCACGCCGTTGTGTGTGTGTGTGTGTGGAGATTAACAGGATGGTCAGCGCCGTTGTACGGTACCTGATGCACGTTTAAAGGTTTTGATAATCTTAATGACAGATCATGCTGACTTCTTGAACGTACTCATTGTTCTATTTACAGTACATGCCTGTTGACTTATCCACGAAATGTATACACATATGTCTTCTCATCTGATATATCCGTGTTGTTAGCCCAATGTCTGAATTCTTTGCCCTGACGTCAACGCTGCTAGAATTGTCGAGTGGTCAGCTCCTAACTGACCAGTCTCCAACCACCTGATTAGGATGGATCACAGTTTTCAACGTGCGCATTCATCAACTCAATCAACAATCTATCAACTCAATCAATACAATCCTCGAGTTCAATCAGAAATACGCCGTGATGCCGGCTACTTAATTACACCTTTTACAAAACATCGTCCGTTAATCTCTCTGATCTGGCATCCTGCCGTTTTAAAATTATTCGAAGCGTCTCAAATTTTCTACGAATTAGCCGGAATGTTCCAGAACATAATTTTTTTCAAGACTTTATATCCCGCATTGATCCACAATTTTGATTTTTATTCGTGGTTGAACGGCCAGTGATTAAAGATGGAGCTGCTTTAGATGCACTTCCGAGTGGAAAGAAAAATTATTGTAATCGTTTTAATGTAAGCTGTGGTAGGTTATACTTGAACATTCGGGAATGGGGCGTCGTTATGTGAGATACTGTGGGGCGTCGTTCTTTGGTGGGGCGTCGTTCTTTGATATACTGTGGGGCGTCGTTCTTTGGTGGGGCGTCGTTCTTTGATATACTGTGGGGCGTCGTTCTTTGGTGGGGCGTCGTTCTTTGAGATAATGTGGGGCGTCGTTCTTTGGTGGGGCGTCGTTCTTTGAGATAATGTGGGGCGTCGTTCTTTGAGATACTGTCGGGCGTCGTTCTTTGGTGGGGCGTCGTTCTTTGGTGGGGCGTCGTTCTTTGGTGGGGCGTCGTTCTTTAAGATACTGTGGGGCGTCGTTCTTTGGTGGGGCGTCGTTCTTTAAGATACTGTGGTGCTTTGAGGTGCTGTGGGGCGTCGTTCTTTGGTGGGGCGTCGTTCTTTGGTGGGGCGTCGTTCTTTGGTGGGGCGTCGTTCTTTGGTGGGGCGTCGTTCTTTGGTGGGGCGTCGTTCTTTGGTGGGGCGTCGTTCTTTGGTGGGGCGTCGTTCTTTGGTGGGGCGTCGTTCTTTGGTGGGGCGTAGTTCTTTGGTTGGGGCGTCGTTCTTTGGTGGGGCGTCGTTCTTTGAGATGCTGTGGGGCGTCGTTGTTTGAGATACTGTGGGGCGTCGTTCTTTGGTGGGGCGTCGTTCTTTGGTGGGGCGTCGTTCTTTGGTGGGGCGTCGTTCTTTGAGATGCTGTGGGGCGTCGTTCTTTGAGATACTGTGGGGCTTCGTTCTTTTAGATACTATGGGGCGTCGTTCTTTGGTGGGGCGTAGTTCTTTGGTGGGGCGTCGTTCTTTGAGATGCTGTGGGGCGTCGTTCTTTGAGATACTGTGGGGCGTCGTTCTTTGAGATACTTTGGGGCGTCGTTCTTTGAGATACTGTAATATTATAGTCACGTGATGGTGGTTGTTACACTTCAGTTTGTCACATGGTCGTGGTTGTTGTAACACTTCAGCTAATGACCTCTTTAAGTTCCAAAACACGGGAAGTTTTACCTGGGGAAATGTTTTCAATAGAGCCCAGACAAAACCGGAAGTTGTTTTTTTTCAAGATGGCGGCTACATGACATTCTTGTAACGGTCACAGTAAAGCCAAGGGTGGGTGAAGACAGAGGGGGTGGGATGGTGGGGATGCTGGCTACAAAACTCAAGTACTTAAGCTTAGGATAGGTCTGGGTGGAGATTAGCTGGAGGGTGGGGGGGGGGGGGTCTTATTTTCTGGCGGACACTTAATATAAGCGACTTGATGTGTGTTGATCAAGTGATCCATTTGGGTATTAACCCCCGAGGTTTAACTAAACTTTGACCTCTGACATAGTTTAATTAACAAAAACAGACCAGGACACATGTGCCTTTACTGCACTTAGCTCTGATGTTCGGAGAGTGGCCTTGAACCCTCCAGCAGGAAATGAGGTCTTGTCTATATCCTGCACGTGTAATGGACGCCATGTCGCTAAGTGCAACAAGAGACGCCATTTTGTGTAGGCCCGTGGTTCACGCCCAGCAAGGGACATAATCACTGCTTGCCAAAGGGCATGTACTCTCGCTGGTGTCCACATGAGTACAGTGGAAATTGAAACTGTTTATTGAGGGACAGCTGTGTGATGTTGGCCACCAATACAAGATGAAATGAACGGACATTAGGGTGTCATGTCTTTAGTTGTCAACAAAACAAAGAGTACAGAACACAAGAGTTGTAAACATTTGTTGGCTGGGGACAGTCAACAGAACCGGTGGAATAACATAGCAAAGATCAAATATTTGTGGGAGAATAATTAGAGTCATTGTCAAATTCGGTCTAAATTTGTAAACAGCCACTCCAAAGTACAATCAGAAATGTAACATTTCTCATACACACCCCCCCACCCCCCCCCCACCCCCCCCCCCCACTATATATATATATATATATATATATATATATATATATATATATATATATATATATATATATATATATATATATATATATATATATATATATATATATATATATATATATATATATATATATATATATATATATATATATATATATATATATATATATATATATATATATATATATATATATGTTACCGAGTCTATTTACTTGCAGTGCCGAATGTTACCGAGTGTATTTACTCGTGCTATCTTTGACCAGCACACAACATCGACTACAATACAGATACTCGGAAGTGCAGGTTTACATTGATCTCTTTATTACATGAATCAATAGAAATGCTCCACATAACAATGCATCAATGTTCCACAAGAATACAATGAACCAACTGACCCCCACTGTCCTCACTAGTCCTCACATATCAGAATGCACGTGTCCATCGTTCCTATTCTCACAAATCACAACAGGTCTACATATATATATATATATATATATATATATATATATATATATATATATATATATATTTATATTTATATTTATATTTATATTTATATTTATATTTATATTTATATTTATATTTATATTTATATTTATATATATGGGGAAAGGGGGTTGGGTGTTTGTGGTTGTGATTGTCTGATACAAACAATGGTGAAATTGAAAACGTTACGAACTGTAATATACTTTCTCGGACTAATCCTCCCCCCCCCCCAGCTCCCCACCTACCATCGTACATTCTATTAAGGTATTATGAATGGTTTTGTCTCGCCCTTATTTGATCGTGAATTCCTTCCCTCCCCTCCCTCCCAAAATTGACCCCCCCCCCCCTCCCCCTGTAGTATGTGACATTTAGATTATTTGCACCAAATATTGTACAGGCCAGAGTTCGACTCAGTCTATTGTTTGTGATATCTTTGTTAAAGTAATAGTCTGGGTGCTCTCCCTTGATATTTTAGGGATTATATTTGGTAACCATAGAGCTTCGTAGTTGTCATACTGACGTCACTTCCTAACATGGCGGGAGGCTGTGTTTTGTTCCCCGGTACAGAAACCGGAAATAGAATTTATTTGACAGCCCGTGTTTTATAAATCTAAAAGTAAAATCTCTGCTACGATTTGTCTGAATGTGAATGTTTAAATGTCATAGAAAACCTCTGTTTTATTTTAAAAATTGTAGTTGAGCAGATGAAACATCAAAATATCATTCAGTAAATAACTTCTAATCTATCTATACTTAATATTACATAGGAATGGGTTAGGGTTAGTTCTGAAGTCGTGTCAGGTTTGGATAGATCTTTACCCACCCCACTCTTACCCTATCGTACAACATCAACACAAAGCCCCCCCCCCCCATTTTTTCATAAATTCAAAATAACTTTATGTTTCAGCATTCCCACCGCTTAGTTTACTTTTTGAAACACCAGTTTCTTTTTGAAAATTTCAATTAATTAAGATTTATTAAGATTAGATAATTATGTCGAGTTGTTTTCTTGTGTTTTTTTTAAATTATGATAAAGCTGGTACACCCCACGGAGTGTGAATGTTGTATGAGATACAAACATTGTATGATGTGTGATGCGTGATTTGCGACATGTATGATGAAAAAAAAATACCTTTCATCTTGATGTTCTGCTGTTATGTACGGAATAAAGAACTAATCTTTCTTCAAGGTGTGGCGAACTTTTAATTTGGATGACCCGATACCCCATCATTAAACAAACATGATCTCATGCTGCATTACGCCACCCAAGACTTAGGCATGTGATCATTGAAGCCGATCACACCTCTGTGAGAGAAGTGATCAAAGAGATTAATCCCATAACTTGATTACGCTGTGGATTTAAACGCGTCAGAAAATCTCCCTGAATCTTAATTTCCAAATGCCGTTTCAAAAGAAAAATGATCACGTGAGGATATAATCCAGTGTTAATCCGTTTGTTGACGTTACAGTGCCGTGATGGGTCGGTTGTTTTCTTGACCTGCCTAGAAGAGTTCACTGTGAACTCTTCAGCCCTGCTAGGCTACATTTGCCGCATGAAGGCTAAACTTTGCCGTCTAAAGGCTAAACTTTGCCGCCTAACGACTAAACTTTGCCGCCTAAAGGCTAAACTTTGCCGACTAACGGCTAAACTTTGCCGCCTAAAGGCTAAACTTTGCCGCCTAAAGGCTAAACTTTGCCGTCTAAAGGCTAAACTTTGCCGACTAACGGCTAAACTTTGCCGCCTAAAGGCTAAACTTTGCCGCCTAAAGGCTAAACTTTGCCGCCTAAAGGCTAAACTTTAGGCTAAACTTTGCCGCCTAAAGGCTAAACTTTGCCGACTAAAGGCTAAACTTTGCCGACTAACGGCTAAACTTTGCCGACTAACGGCTAAACTTTGCCGCCTAAAGGCTAAACTTTGCCGCCTAAAGGCTAAACTTTGCCGCCTAAAGGCTAAACTTTGCCGACTAACGGCTAAACTTTGCCGACTAACGGCTAAACTTTTCCGCCTAAAGGCTAAACTTTGCCGCCTAAAAGCTAAACTTTGCCGCCTAAAGGCTAAACTTTGCCGCCTAAAGGCTAAACTTTGCCGCCTAAAGGCTAAACTTTGCCGCCTAAAGGCTAAACTTTGCCGCCTAAAGGCTAATAAAGGCTAAACTTTGCCGACTAACGGTTAAACTTTACCGCCTAAAGGCTAAACCTTGCCGCCTAAAGGCAAAGCTTTGCCGCCTAAAGGCGAAACTTTGCCGCCTAAAGGCTAAACTTTGCCGCCTAAAGGCTAAACTTTGCCGCCTAAAGGCTAAACTTTCCCGCCTAAAGGCTAAACTTTCCCGCCTAAAGGCTAAACTTTCCCGCCTAAAGGCAAAACTTTGCCGCCTAAAGGCTAAACTTTCCCGCCTAAAGGCTAAACTTTGCCGACTAAAGGCTAAACTTTCCCGCCTAAAGGCTAAACTTTCCCGCCTAAAGGCTAAACTTTCCCGCCTAAAGGCTAAACTTTCCCGCCTAAAGGCAAAACTAGGAGGTCGGCGTGGTCGGGTTGGTTAAGCTCGTGGTTGCTGATCCGAAAAGTCATACGTTCGAATCCCCGGTCAGATTTGGTTCGATACAGCCACTCATCTTGGAGAGACAACTCCAAAATCAAACAACTGCTGCCTTGTAGTTTGTTCTTGTTTGGGCAAAGGCTATGGAATCAAATCCAAAAAGAAAAGCAGGCTGAAATTGGAGTCAATGGCCTCAATGGCGAATAACCAGTTGACACGTATCCTTAATTCTGTTGGAGGGGATCCCTTCCAAGACTAAAATTAAGAACGAAAACGAAGAAGACGGAACTAAAGATCAGCTCATTAAACGTTGAGGGCTCATGAGGAATGGACCATAACTGGGAGGTGTGGTTTACTGACGGCATATAGAAAATCTCGTATGTGAGGCTATGTGTGGGTGAGTGTGGGTGTGTTCATGAGTGGGTATGTGACTCTATGGGCGAGTATGAGTGTATATGTGGATCTTAGTATGGATAAGGAAATGTTTATGGGTTCCTATGCGTATCTAAATCGTCCTACGCAGCATGCGAGCGTAAAACAACACAACATGAAAACCTGTTGTTTTTTATGGTTGAGTGGTTTAAATCCCTCTTGTAATACTGATCGGTTCATCTGATCAAACATGGATGGCTATATCCTGGTCAGTGGGACACGCTTCTGTTTTCATGGCTGATAGATAAACTCCTACGCCAGGTTATTAGATCACGTGTCATACCACGTGTCATTTACCTTTATATCACAGCTTATGTAATGTTAGAGGGTCAATCTTAATATAGAAATCTCTGTTATTTCAACATGTAAGTTTTAT